GGGCTTTGGCATACCTGTGCATGTGACCTAGTTCGGAAAGAGGTTATCTCTTTGTTGTGTTAACTGGATCATCAAACCCGAACCCATCAACTGATGGTGCCCAGTGGATTCTAATTCACAGTGGCCTGGACAGGACAGAGCAGAGCCACGCCGTTTCACAGACTGCCTGCTCTTTCTCCCAAGGATTCGCCGGGGGATTTGAATTGCTGACCTTGGATGAGCAGCAGTGTTTAATCACTGCGCCAAAAAGCCAAGTCAGCAGCAAGCCTGCCATCAAGTCAATGCCAATGCTTGGATTCCGGGGCCATAAATCCTAACAGGCTTTGAACTGTCAACTTTTTGGCTAGCAGCCCAACACTTAACCCATTGCTCCATGAGACATTCTCGATCACATTCTAGCAGAAAACCAGAAACCCAAGCCAGATGCTACATAAAAGAAAAAAGAAAGGCTGAAGAGAAAATCAACTTGCTCTGTAAACTTCCACTCAAATCACAGTAGACAGCTGAGGAACCAGAAAACAAAGCAGGGCTGTTGTATCTCCTCTGCCCACTCCCGCTGGGATTCTGCACCTAATCACCCCTGAGTTACAAAGAAAGCAGATTAGCTGGAGGCAGGAGAAGGGGCCTGCTATTCAGCAGCAGAGGCAGACACACCCATAAGCTCAGAGCACCAAGGACTGCTATCCAGGTGCTGTAAACGGAAACAAAGAGGACCTTCCCCGACTCTGGTCCAGCAGCTTTCTGGACTTGTGTTCTTCAGAGTCACTCCCTGTGGTCGTTGTGTCACGGCAGCAGTTGGACGCTCAGACAGTTATTATGAGCATGTGTCTTTCCAAGGATATGTTTTTATTTCTCTTGTATATACACCTTGGAGTAGAATTGCTGGGTTATACAGTAAATCTATGTTTAGAAATTGCCAAACTGGTTTTTATTTTCTTCAACTATTTTTCGAAAGCATTTGCACCACCAGCAATGTATGAGGGTTTGAGTTTCTCCACATCCTTCCTAACACTTGTTATCTGTTATCTTAGGAGGTAGTTTTAACAAACAGAAGCGTATTCCCTCTCTTTCTGGGAGAAGGGCAGTGTGAACTCAGGGTGCTGGTTCCAGGGAAAGGCCCAGCAGTCCCTGGAGATCTGTGTGTCTTGACATCAATCTTTTCCAGGATTTACGAAATTCAATGACAATAATTCCAGAACTAAGGTGTCTCTGATTTAGGCCAAGGCCTTTTTAATCACCTGACACACATCTGAGAGCTGGACAATAGGGAAGACAGAAGAAGTGATGCCTTTAAACGGTGGTGCTGGAGAAGAGCACTGATACCCCAGTTTCTTTGCCAAAGAACAAACAGATGTCTTGGGGAAAATGCACCCAGTGCTGCTTGGAGGCAAAGCTTACAAGGCTCTCTCACACTGTGGGCATGTTGCCGGGAGAGGCAACATTATGTGAGAGCAATATTATGCTTGGGAAGAGGGTCAGTGGAAGAGGAAGACTCTCAACCAGAAGGACTGACCGTGCAGAGATCAGGAACTCAGCGGATAGGACAGGGTTCCGGTTTGTTGTTCACAGAGTTGCTATGACTCCTACTGGACTTGACCATAACCCGACCATCACCACCGCCAGTGTCCCAGTGCTGGGCCCAGGCGCCCACGTGCCCAGCTCCTCCTTGGTGCTGGTACTGAAGCTCCCCCTCCTCTCCTTGCATTCATCGCGCCACTCCTTTTACCTTTTTAGAGATACAAGGCTGCAGGCCACACCCAGGAAACCCTTATATGATGGGATGGTGCTGCTGGAGGCCACTGTCACAGCCTCAGGGTCATCAACCCTACAGAGTGATGCTGTGCTGAGCATGGGTAAGAGCAGATATCCAGCAGGTACGTGACCACAGAGGAGGCAGGACGACGGGAAAGGGAAGCAGTGCCAGGGAGCTGGCTGATCTCAGGATGGGGTGGGGGCTCCTGTGTCCTCTACGAGGTCCAACCGGGAGCCGTCAGGCAATTCTGACTCATGGAGACCCCTGGGCTCAGAGTACAATGCGTTACAGCCTGTCAGGGGCTGAATTTTCAAAAGCAGTTCACCAGGTCTTTCTTCCGCGACACCCCTACCTCCAAGCAAATGGCGAGCAGCCCAGCACTGTAACCCCTGTGCCACCAGGAACTCCCCACAACGTGCACTAGTCATGGTCCAGTCCATTGCAGTGCTGTGTCATGGTTAGAGACGGCCGATCCAAATCCACGCACTGGCGTACCTTGTTTTATTAGTACTGTGTTTTGTTTTAACAAATGAAAAGTTTGTGGAAGCCCAGCACTGACTAAGCCTACCAGTGCCATTTCCCCACCAGCAAGTGCTGAAGTTTGTCCTCACAATGTTTCAAACTTTTTTATCATGCTATGTTTTCCTTCTCCCCAAACACGACTGCCTACCTAGCGGACCTTAAAATCAGAACCCAATCCACTGCCATCGAGTCCATGCCGACTCTTGGCGGTACCCACAGGTTTCCGAGGGTGTCAATCTGGATGAACCCAACATCCTCCTTCAGAGCAGTGGGTGGACTTGAACTGCTGACTGATTACTCCTTCAGCAGCCCGACACTTAACCCACCACGCCACCAGGTAAACACAACTTCCACACACATTCAAAACGCAAACTCAGCTGCTGTCACGCTGACTCGAACCCTCCAGCAGGTTTTTGAACTGTAAATGTAGCCGAGGGGGACTGCTCCCCTTTCTCCTGTGGAGATGCTGCTGGTGCGAGTTGCGACAGCACAATTGTAACGACTAAACCAAATCTGTGTGATTTGCTTTGCTGAGAGAATCACTTGACTGCAGTCGCCTGGACTGAATCTGCACTGTCTCCGAGGTTGGCCAGCTTTTGATACCCTTGGAGGGAGGGAGGAAAAGATAGAGAAATGAAGAAGAGGAGAGGAGGACGGGAGGAGGGCAAGGGGAGTTATCAGCTCCCTCACGTCCTCTGAACTTCAGGCTCAGTGAACCACGCAGCCCTTGAGCCAAAGCCAGCCCACCATACTTGGTTTTACACGTTTCCCTGGCACTCAGCCTTATTGGTTCCTTGAGATGGGCTACGAGGGCCAGCTCAGGAGCTGCCACAGAGATTGTTCGGCCAGCAAAGCGGACAGTATTTACCTTTTACAGAAAAAGCTTTTCAACCCCGTCTCTGTCTCTACATACGCAACTGCAATAGTCTCTAAAGCGGAGAATGAACTCCAGGACCCCAGCCCTCCCCAGTTCCCAGGTCCACAGGGAGCTACCCGCTCTCTCCTGCTCTCCTCGTTCTCTCTTGCTCTATAAAACAGGGACTGGCAGGGACCCACGTGGGTCAGTGGTCACCTTTTGGAAGCAGGCTGCCAGACTTTTTTTTCTGAGGTGCCTCTGGCTGGATTTGAACTGCCAACTTCTGGTCAGTAGCCAGGTACTTAGCCATCTGTGCCACTGAGGGCCTCTAACGGTTCAGATTCAGTCACCCACTGCCATGGAGTTAGAACCGACTCATCGCTCACCCTCCACTGGGCTTCTGAAGCTGTAAACCAGAGGCCTCCTCTCTCCCTCCGTGGACGCTGCTGGTGGACTGCAATGACGAGGGCAGGGCGGCCCTGGGTCAGCAGTGCCTCTCCTGTGGACAGGACGCCGCCCCAGAGCCAGTGCTCTGAGGTGACGCCGCCGGTGACCGGGTTTCCCTTGATCTCTCAGCCAGGAGCTGAGCAACACTGATGCTTCCCTGGAAGAGCGTCCACTTGCCCCCGGACGTCCCAGGAAGCCCAGAGTGCTTTGTTGACCTGGAGTTCCCATCTGGGCTTGTGCAAGTCACAAGGACATATACAGTCCCTGCTCTAAAGGTGAGATGAGCACCTCGGTCCACAGCATGGTGAGAGGACAACACACCCAGCCGCGTGCCAGGTGTCGTAGACCCGCCCTGCGTGAGGAGGACTTCTCACCTCAGGGTCTGGAGGGTAGGTCACCGTCACCAGGCCCCCCTGGCTGTGCTTGGACCACCGACCTCCAGGTTCCCAGGTGAGGACCCATCCAGGGACTCGGCAGAAGAGGCTTACACACCCACTGGGGTCCAGTCAACTCTGACTCATGGTGACTCTGAGTGACAGGGTGGAACTGACCAATGGGTGTTTAAGGCTGGTGGCAACTCTCTCGTCTCCACCAAATCAGGACTGGCTCAGAGCCAACCCTCCAGTGGGCTTTCTGAGGCTGTCAATCACCCGGGAGGAGAGTACTCATCCTTCTCCCACGGAGCCACTGGTCAGTGGGAACCACTAGGGCCTTCCATGTGGCAAAAGGCCGGCTGTTCTCAATCACAAGGAGCTCCAAGGGAGAAAGGGGGACAGGCTGGTTCCATACCGATTCCAGCCTCGGACACCGGACCCCAACGGAGGTCACCCAGAGGCAAAGCAATGCAACGGCAGAGCGTCTGGCTTGGGTTTTTGGCCATCCTACTGAGGCGGACTGCCGGAGCTCTCGCGCGCTGAGCAGGTGGTGGGTTCAGGGTGCTAAACTGGGCTTCAGTGAGCAGCCCCGCACCTGACCGCTGTGACACCAGGGACCGCTGTGACACCAGGGCTCGTGGGAAGAGGCCTGATCCCAGGACAGCAGAGGCCCAGTGGTCTCTGAGTAAACACGAAGGCCCACTGATGGGGCGTGTGGTGTGAGGACGCAGCACGAAGTATAGGACACAGCACGCAGCCCGACACAGCACACAGCCTGACAGAGCACGCAGCCTGACACAATGTAAGGCCATACGACACAGCACGACACAGCACACAGCCTGACACAGCACGCAGCTTGACACAGTGTGAGGGCATACGACACAGCGCAACACAGCACACAGCCTGACATAGCACACAGCCCGACACAGCACCCAGTGTGAGGACATACGACACAGCACACAGCCTGACACAGTGTGAGGACACACGACACAGCCTGACACAGGCCCCAGTTAAGTTTTATGTATTTACCATGATGACACTCTCGCTTTCAACATAGCGTCTGAAACTCTTGCAAGCGCTTCCTGGCTTCCTGGAGAAACTGCTGGTGCATCTTCTTCTGCTCTAGGATCTGCTGCCGGCGGTCCTGGAGAATCGGACTGTGCCTGTTGCTGTCGAGAATGCTGATGGCCGAGAGGGAGCTGGTGGAGGGTCTCTGCGACCCCTCCTGACCCTGGACTTGCAGGGATGAGGGTTGCGACTGTGCTGGCCTCTGTGGCCTCTTCTCTTCCTCCAGCTGAGTGCTGAGGGGGGCTTCCAGGTTCATCTTGGGGTGTTCCGGCTGCTTCTGCCTCCTCCACTCCATGTCCCAGGCCAACAAGCGTTTTGGCTCTACCAAGCCTCTCCCTCTGGCTTGTTCACGGAGGTGCCGCTGATGCGGAGGGGTCCCTCCCGTCATGGCTGTTTTGGGGGGCTCTTGTCTAGCCTCCGAGAGCAGGCTTTCCTCGACAGAGACACTGGCCTTGGAAAACGAGGCTCTGTCTGGGCTCTCTGGTCGTGTGTTGGACACACTGCTTTTCTCTTCAAAAAGACACTTACCCAACCGGCAGTACTTCTGGGTCTCAATCCGGTCCAGCAGCCTCTTCAGCTCGGTTCTGGAAGGCGTGTGGTGGGCCTCCACGGGGTAGCTGTGCTTCCTGGCCAGCGCCCTCTCTCCTGTGGTCTCGCACTGGGCCTCACTTCTTGGCTCTTCTATGGTCCTGCGGCCCCGTGCACAGCTGGGACCCGGCCCCTCCCTGCTCCTAAGCTCAAGGTGGATCCGCAGATGGTCCCTCAGCTTCTGATGGTTGTTAAACAACTCCTGGAAGGCAGCCGCGACCTCCCTCTGCCACCTCATCACGTCCCCGAGCTTGTCCGGGGGAGGCGTTGACACGGCTCTGCTTCTGAGGGACGGCCACAGCCGCTGGAGACCCTTCCCTCCGTCTTCCGGCCACGCGTCCGGATGCCTGTGCTTCGGGCTGACCATCACCAGGGCCTCGCCCGTGTCCATCTGCCGCCTCCTGTCCCGGAACCACTCTCTTTCCTCCCCCCGCTGGGTACTGTCAGAGAGGACACGGAGTTTGTCTACTTCTGCCGCTCTGCCTGGCCGGGGGCCTTGGGGCTGGCCACCTCGAGTGGTCGTCCCGGATGATCCTTGCCTGCCTTTTCTCTTCTTAGGGGGGCTGGGGGCAGACCGGGTCACACCTGCGGCGCCGGTGGTCGGCCGCTTCCCTGAGCCTGCAGCCTTCTTCGGGGGCTTGCTGGACCATGGCAGCCGTCTGCTCAGCCCTTCCCTGTGCGTCTCTTCCCTGGAGACCAATCGGCACTTCTCCCTGGTCCTCTGTGGCCTGGTGGCTGCTCGCAGGGTGGGATCCTGCAGGTCCAGCTGGCTGTCCTCCGTGCAGCCGCCTGCCATGCCCAGCAGATGCAGCAAGTACAGCCATCCGAGGCCCCTGTGCTGCCTCCTGACCACCGGCCATGCAGAGCTCAACTCCTTGGCCAGGCGCTGCAGCTGCAGCCTCTTCCACGACTGCAGGTCAGGTCTCCAGCCTTCGGCCACGTCGCCCCTCTCCCGGCCCGGCTGCAGGCATGGCTGCCGTCTCGAGGGCAGCACTTCTTCCTCGGGGCAGCGGCCCGGCCAGTCGGCACGCTCCAGACCTCTCTTCATTCTGAGAGCTGTGTAGACACCACTTCCGAGGGAAGGTGGACGTGGACTGGGCCTGGGGTGGAGGCTCGCGAGGCCTTGGGGCTCAGGGGCCACAGATGACGTGGCAGTTCCAGGCCAAACCTACGAGGACAGGAGGACACACTGCCTTCCAGAACACGGACAGGCTGAGCGAGGCCCTGAGACCAGTGCCCACAGTTCTCAGTGCAGGGACCTTCTACACGGTCCCCAACACCCACCCAAGGTCACTCCGCAGCTCCCAGCTGTTCCCTCAGCGTGGGACACCGTCTCCCAGGGGACAGCAGGCAAGTCTGCAGACCCTCCAGTGACTACAGCGGGGGTATGGGGGAACAGAGCCCTTGGAGCCGATGGGCAGAGCCAAGGACACAGGTCGGCATCCCAGAGTGCACAAGAGTGGCCACCAGACTGTCCAGGTGCGGACAGCCCGAGGAAGCCGAGGGGGCTCTGAGCCTCCTGAGGGGGGCTGCTCATCAAAGCAGGGGAGGAGGCCGCAGAGGCTGCTGGGTGGGTGTGCAGGTGCGAGTGGAGGGTAGGAACGTGTGAGCTGTGTTGTGTGTGCAGTGCTTCTGGACGTATGTATGTGACTGTATTACGTGCTTAGGTAAAGGGTAACAGCAGCACAGGTAAATGAACACACGTGAACGTATTATGCGCCAAGTGTGTGGTGTGTGTGAATGTGTGATATGCACACCGCATACACGTGTGGACGCATTATGTGGAGTGCGTGTGAATGTTGTCTGTGTTGTGTGTACGATGCACGTATTGTGTGAATGAGTCGTGTGTGTGCTGTGTACGCGGACAGGACATACGCGGAGTGTGCGAGCACTGCACGGATGTGGTATGTTAGGCATGTACTAAGCGTGTATGCATGCTGTCCGTACACACATATACTGTATTACGTGTGTGAGTGCTTACGTGTTGTGTGTGTTGAACGCGTCATGTGTGCACTTAGTATGTACGTCTGCTCTGTGTGTGCACATCAACTTTGACCCACTACAGGGTGTCCCATTCTCCCCTTGTGACCCTTTTCCAGACCTCTCTGGCCTCAGGAGGGCTTGAGTTCAGGAGGCTTCCTTGGGAAGCATGCAGTTTGGGGAAGCACTGCTGTTGCCGCCTGCAGCTAACGTCACTGTCCACTCTGGGGAATAGCGGGGCTGCTTCTTGGGCAGTGCAGATGCCAAGGCCTACAGGACGCCCCCTAACCTTCCTCTCTCTCACATCAGGAACCAGGCTGAGCAATGTCAAAGGAGACACCTTGACCTCTTGCAGCTACTATTTCCTGGGCAGAAGCCCTGGGGAGCACAGCTATGCAGTGGCCCTTTGAGGCAAGAAGTTATGGTCAACACTTTCAGAGATGGGGAAACTGAGGCCAGAAGCAATTAAGAAAGCTAACCAGATTACACAGGTAGGCGCTTTAGTGTCTTCTGGCTCTTCCCAGTTTTTGGCAAATCAGAGTGAACAAGTACACACAGAGAATGGTGATTCGTATTACTGGCTATAGGTACATCAACTTACACGCTGGGGAGAGGAAGGAGAGAGGCTGAGCACTCAAGGCAGAGACTGAGGTGTTGACGAAAGGGCCCCAGTAAATCATGGGGAAAGAACAGTCTTCAACAGATGGTGCTAGGACAACTGGGGGGTCCCAATGTCAAGAGAGCAATCTAGATCCTTACCTCACATCATACAGAAAACAAAATCAAAAGGGGTCCCAGACCTTGATGCAAGGTCTAAATCATAAACATGGAGAAGAACCTGGAGGTGTTGTTCTTTGTGCATTGGGTTAAGCAGAGCTTCCTTGGACATGACACCAAAGGAACAAGATATAGAAGAAGAAGTGAAGAGACTGGTCTCAGGGATGAGAACCTCCGGCACTTTGGAACACCAACAAGAAAGCGAAAAGTTGAGCCACGATCTGGAACAAAATTCCCAAAGAAGGACTTGAATCCAGAATCGATAACTCGTACAGCTCAATAATCCCACACATCTCATTGCCATCCAATCGGACTCGACTCCGAGCTGACCTTCCAGCAGGTCTCCAAGGCTTCAAGTGCCCAGAAGCAGTTTGCACATCTCTTTCCTGCAGAGCTCTGGGCGGGTTCAAGGCGGCAGAGAGACATGTCTTTGGGTCAGGAGCACACTCACCAAGGACGACACCACCAGAGAGCCCTTAATTCAGTAAGAACCCGCCCTCCAAACCACTCACTGCTCTCAAGGAGGAACTGACTCTCCAGTGGGTTTTCAGAGGCTGTAAATCCCTCGAAAGAAAAGTGCCCATCTTTCACGCTCAGGGCAGCTGGTGGACTTGAATTGCCTATGTTTGGATTGGCAATACAATTCCCTACTACTAGGTGACCAGAGCTCCGGTAACAAGAGGGAAATGAGTAATCCAACTTAAAAAATAAGCAAAATATTTAAAATATTTAAACAAAGAAGATACAAATATGGCTCACAATACATAAAAAGCTATCCACTATCAACAGTCATTCTGAGTTCATCAAACACACCACTCTCTCACCTTCTCTTTCTCTGCTCTGCACAGGGAGACACAGACCTCAGTGAGGGTGCTTCTCTCTCTTGTTCAAGGCAGATCCTGACCAAGGAGATGTGGGCTGGGAACCACCCAGGGAACCAGCAGCTCCCAGGGGTCTCACACACTCCAATCTGGTCCCTGAGCACCTCATGTCCGGGGACATCCCCACTCAGGGTGAGGTCCATGACTGCTCTGGGAATGGATGCCTCCCCATCCTAAGCCTCCTCTCTAGCTGAGCCTCCCTCCAGCTGCCCCCATCTCTGCGGCATCCAGAACACCCTGCCTGTCTCCACAGGACCCCAGAGCTCATGCCTGCTGACACCTGTTCCTCAAAATACCCAAAAAGAGACACAGAAAGATGTCCACGGCGCCAATCTTCCAGAGGGGGAGTCTTGCCATATAATTGAAGCTCTTCTTCCCATAAAGCTAAACATCCTCCTCCTCTTCAAGGGCCACGAGAACACATATAATTAGATCTTTTTTTAGGGAGGACTCCAGATCCTCTTTGGGACCATAACACAGAGATTCCCTCGAGAGCGAGTTAAGCTCTGTTGGTTGTTCGATGACGGCTGAGGAAGGTCGAGGCCCGGGCATTGTCGCTCACCGTGTTGGAACAAGCTGTCAGGGGCCGTGAGAAGGGCTACATGCCTCAAATGTCATCAATAGTGTGGGAGAGTGGGGCAGACGGTGCCTCTTTTGCTGTTACATTTTCACCAAAACTAGAAATCTTTCATTAAAACCAAAACATCAGAGAGTTCCCCCAAAGCGAATGACCCCAGAACGCACATCGGTTCTTTAAAAAACTTGTTAAAGCTTCTTTTCTCATCCACAGGAGCCCTGGTGCACTGTGGGCTAAGTTTTGGGCTGCTAACTGAAAGGTCTGCAGTTCAAATCCTCTCAGCTCTGCGTGAGACAAACGTGGCTCCAGGCCCCAGTGTGTGGGAGGTGGGCAGACCCCACAGTGGCCGTCTGCGTGCAGATGACCGAGAGGCCCAGGAGGAACCGAGACAAGCCCTGAGCACCCAAGGACACTTCTGTGCGCCTTCCGTGTGAGCCTTCAGGACAACCAGACGGCCAGCGTGAGACTCTGTGACCACATCTAGCCCCAGGGATCAGCCAAAACCCCAGACACCTCAAGACGAAGGGTCAGTCCGCTCTGTGCGCCAGGGCTCACGGCCAGACGTGTGTGAAGAGCGTCCGACAGCTAAGGAGCACCCGTGTGTTAGCCGTGGCCAGTCAGGTGACGTATGCCAAAAAGACTCCCTTCAGAACCAAACTACACCTGTTCACACGAGCAGCCTCGGCAAAACCGAACCCATAGGGAAGAAGAATCGCTTTACCGGAGAGCAGAGAGCTGTGTGTCCCCCAGAAAAGACTCAGCTGTGACAGGAGGGGCTGGCAGGTGCGTCTGTGGCCACAATGTCCAAGAGTAGAAAAAAAACAGGACAAAATAACAAGATGAACCCAAGCCTCAACGACCCTGAGACCAGAACGAGACAGTGCTCCTGTCACTGACCACACAGACTGGACCACTAGACAGCTCGCGACAGCTCGCGACACAATGGGGGAGAAATGCGGAACAAGACGCAAAAATCACAGAAAAGACCACACTTACTGCTCTAATATAGTCCACGGGAACCCCCAGACTGCGAGCCTTGGACACCCTTCAAACTGGGGACTGAAACCACCCCCGTGAAGAGCCTTCAGCCAAACGGGCTGGTGAAGTGAACGGTTACAACCGGGGCAGCATACTCCTCCAAACAGTCAACCGGACGAGATCAAAAGGCAGCGTTTGCCCTAAAACAAAGCTCAGAAGCCGGAAGGGACAGGAAAGGACAAGTGGAGGCAGGAAGTCCAAGGAGGAGCTGGGTAGAGTGCTGCTGAAGTGAGGGGGTGACAGCCAACGTCACCAGATGAAACGTGTACACACTCACACGAGAAACTAGAGTGCTCTCTAAACTTCCACCTCACGCCACAGCAAAATGACAAACAAAACACAAAGAAAAGGCAGGTCACAGATGGAATCCCAAGGCTGTGCATGCAGGCTGGGGCAGGACACCCACAGCAAACGCACAGGCACACGGCACCCTGTGACCCAGGGCAAACTTCTGGGAGCCTCAGTTTCCTCATCTGTAAAACGGGGCTAAGGAACCCTGGTGGTTCAGTGCTTAAGTGCTCAACTATTTCTATAAAAATTACAGCCTTGGTAATCTTGTGGGACAGTTTTACTTAAAGGCAACAATTTTCCTTTCCTTTTTTTCTGGGGCTTCGTCTGACATACTTTGGACATGTTGCAAGGAGAGACAGCTCTTTGGAGAGGGACATCATGCTGGGTAGAGTAGAGGGACAGCACAGGAGGGGAAGACCCTCTATGAGGTGGATTGATTCAGTGACTAGGGTAATCGGGATGGGTGTGTCAGAGGCAATGAGATTGGCACAGGACAGAGCAGGG